GAGGTGAAAGCTGGGCCACCATCACCTCAGAGGGAACCCTTCAGCCCAGTGAGTTCCCACTCCGTTCTAGCCACTTGGTCTTGAAAATCCTAGGTCACTCTTTTTAGGTTGAAAATTCTACCCGATATTACAGAAGCTTCACAGTTAATTTTCACCCTCACTTGGTACATCAAACACTCAAAGTTAATCTCCATCAACACTGATTTAGTTGTTTTATCTGTCAGGCAATAAAGGTATGGTTCTAGGGTTTATGAACTATTTAAGGGCATGAAAAAATATTTTAGATCTGACAAAAAGTAGTTCCAAAACACAATAACACACACTCAAATAATTTCAAAAGTAAAAGCCTTTACCGTTCTTCATAACCTAAACTTTTTACTTATGAAATACGAGTGCATTTCATCATGCAATAGGGTGGGGTAGCTATACTCGAGCAAGCCAAGGGCCTGGGAGTATGATCTCATGGCAGACCCACCCTGACTGCTCACATCTTCCAACCTCATCCTTTCTCACTGTGGCTGTGTGTCTGCCACTAAATGGAAGGTGCAGCCATGTTGCCATGAGTACTAACCACATGGCCCAGAGGCAGAATATTTGTTGAATGAGTGCGAGCATAGATGAATGAATACATTAATTAAGCAATGTATACATCCTCCAATAGGAATGCGTTAAGAGACTTTTAAAAATCAGAATGAGAGGGGAATGTGGGGAGTAGTTGCTTAATGAGTAAAGAGTTCCAGTTTTGCAAGGTGAAAAGGTTCTAGAGATTGGTTGTGTGGCCATGCAAATATACTTAACACTGACAAATATACTTAGAAATGGTTAAGATGTTTAAGTTTTCACTGTTTACAATAGCAAAGACCTGGAATCAACCCAAATGCCCATTGATGATAGACTGGATTGGGAAAATGTGGCACATATACACCATGGAATATTATGCAGCAATCAGAAATGATGAGTTCGTGTCGTTTGTAGGGACATGGATGAATCTGGAGAACATCATCCTCAGCAAACTGACACAAGAACAGAAAATGAAACACCGCATATTCTCACTCATAGGCGGGTGATGAAAAATGAGAACACATGGACACAGGGAGAGGAGTACTAAACACTGGGGTCTATTGGGGGGAAAAGGGGAGGGCCAGTGGGAGGGGGAGGTGGGAAGGGATAGCCTGGGGAGAAACGCGAAATGTGGGTGAAGGGGTGAAAGCAAACAAAACACACTGCCATGTGTGTACCTATGCAACTGTATTGCATGCTCTGCACGTGTACCCCAAAACCTAAAATGCAATAAAAAAATAAGAATAAAAAAAAAGATGTTTAAGTTTTATGTTTTTCACTACCAGAAAAAATTTAAAATCAAACCAAGTTTTTAAAAATCACAAATAAAATTTACAGAAAAATTCACAATGCACTTATAACAGCTATCTGAATCTCACTATGGCCACTCTTCAGTTTTCATCAAGAATCTAGAAATAGAAATTCCACTTGACTCAGTAATCCCATTACTGGGTATATACCCAAAGGATTGTAAATCATCCTATTATAAAGACACATGCACACGTATGTTCATTGTGGCACTGTTTACAATAGCAAAGACCTGGAACCAACCCAAAGGCCCACCAATGATAGACTGGACAAGGAAAATGTGGCACATATACACCACGGAATACTATGCAGCCATAAAAAATGATGAGTTCATGTTCTTTGTAGGGACATGGATGAACTTGGAAACCATCATTCTCAGCAAACTGACATAAGAGAATAAAATCAAACACCACATGATCTCACTCATAGGTAGGTGTTGAACAATAAGAACACATGGACACAGGAAAGGGAGCATCAAACACTGGCGTCTCTTGGGTGGGCTAGGGGAGGGACAGCAGGGGGTGGGAAGGTTGGGGAGGGATAACATGGGGAGAAATGCCAGTTACAGGTGATGGGGGTATGGAGGCAGCAAACCACATTGCCATGTGTGTACCTATGCAACAATCCTGCATGATCTGCATATGTACCCCAGAACCTAAATTACAATTAAAAAAAGAAGAAGAAGAAGGAAAAAAAACACAGCCCTGACCTCTTCAGTCCTATTTTCATATATTATGTGTGATTTATTCTGGGGCTTCTTTTGGGGTGCCAGTAATTGACAGATCCATTTGACAGACCAGAATTTGATGGCATAATTACAAAAAGAAAATAAAAAGGTTTACTTTCAATTTTACATGAGGAAATATAAAATTTTGTACAATTTGAAAAACAAAACTTGACTTTTAACAACAGGCTAGAAAATTTTGTACAATTTCAAACTTTTGTACAATTTGAAAAACAAAACTTGCCTTTTTTTTTTTTTTTACTTTAGATGTATACTATATCCAGCATTTCTCCCCCATGTTATCAAAACGTGACATTTAACAACAGGCTAGAAATTTTTAACAACTTTGAAATAACTTCTCCCTTTATAGTAAGCCATATGTCTTCAGTGTGTATGTTTATAATCACCTAGAGTCTTCAAACTCAGAAGTAACTACTGTTAATGTGTTCATGTATGATACATATACAATATAAATATATTTTACATTGTGTTTTATATCTTAATGTATCAGGAGCATTTTCTGATATTGACACATGTTTGGGGTTTCCTATATTAATTTGGAATAAAATACAAAGTCCTCACCTTGGCCTACAAGCCCCAGTGTGATCCATCCTAAGCCTCCCTGTCTCACTTAGCTTTTTCTACTCCCCACCTTCCTCTCACTGTGTTCCCATCACACTGGCCTTCTTGCTGGTCCTCAGGCATGATCAGCATGCACCTGCCTCAGCACCTTTGCATTTATTGCATCCTCCCTCTGGAAGCCCCTTCTTCAGATTTTCATAAGGGCTACTCCCTCATTTCATTGCTGTCTTAGCTTTTAAGTTAAGCCCCTTATACAAAGTGATCACCATTGTGAATCCCCTTGCTCTACTTTATTATTTATTGTAGCTCTTAACATTGACTTAATTTTATATTATGTAGCTATTAATTGTTAAGACCTGGTTTTCCTAGAAGAATGTAAGCTCTACAAGGGCAGAGACTTTGTCTTATTCATTTTCTTGTCCCCTGACATGAGGTTCTAAATTACTGCTTGTTGAATGAACAGACTTTTGCTTTAACCTATATCAGGACAGCACAGAACTCTGTTGCATGGATGTTGCTTCATACATTTAGCTAATTCCCTTTTCTGGGATACTATAGATTGCACTGCAGTGGAATACTTAAATATGTTCTCTTAAATACAGTACTTTTCCACTGTTTTATCTAAGTTAATGACACTGAATGCATCAGCTTCTTAGCCATCCCTCCTTCCTCCTCTCCCTCTTCCCACAGTTTGTATCACACTTTTTACCTTTTCCTTCATGTACAGAAGCTTAAGTCCAATCTCTGACTATTGTTGTGTCCCTATCCTACCTTCCCACTGTGGTTTCCCAGGATGGGAAGAGGGGAGAGGATCAGGAAAAATAACTAATGGGTACTAAGCTTAATACCTGGGTGATGAAATAATCTATACAACAAACTCCGTGGCACAAGTTTACCTATGCAATGAACCTGCATATGTACCCCTGAACTTAAAAGTTTTACAAAATCACTTAAGTATTGCAAAAAACACCCCACACTTCCCACTGGATACTGGTTGCCCTCTTCTCAGTTGCTCTAAGTATGCTTTAGTATATACTGTTCCTTCTTCACAGAATATATTCCTATTTATTTACAAGCGTAAATTCCACCCTCTTCCAAGTCCCTTGCCAGTCCCTCCTGATTGCATCATGCCTTCCTTGAATCTAGTCTGCATGATCTCTCATTTCTCTGTCTTTTTCTAATACTCCCTATGTCGGACACACACAATGGCTTTTGACCATGTTCAGGTGAGCTTTAGATTAGCTACAATTACATTAACTGCAACTTACTAAAGCACTTTCAAAGTCCTATGCAGTCCTAGTCAAAAAATTATAAATATTTTTTAAAATTTAGCAGTTTTACCAAAGTAAAAACTTTTATGCAAAACGAGAGTGTTTTGGGGAAAGAAATGGCATTATTCAAGATCAAATCTTTTCATCTTTCCCTATATTTTCTTTGCATATTATCTATACACTATTCTGCCATAAAGAATTTTCCATTCTTAAATTCGTATTTGCAATTCTTGATCAACCACTATACAAAATTACTTCTGACAATTTTGTAGTTGTTTTAGATTTTGGCTTGTCTTAACATTATTAAGTATGAAGTTATTTTTAAATGAGTATTTTCTCGGCTGGGTGCGGTGGCTCATGCCTATAATCCCAGCACTTTGGAAGGCCGAGGCGGGTGGATCACGAGGTCAAGATATTGAGACCATTCTCGTCAACAAGGTGAAACCCCGTCTCTACTAAAAATACAAAAGTTAGCTGGGCATGGTGGTGTGCGCCTGTAGTCCCAGCTACTCGGGAGGCTGAGGCAGGAGAATTGCTTGAACCCAGGAGGCGGAGGTTGCGGTGAGCCGAGATTGTGCCATTGCACTCCAGCCTGGGTAACAACAGCGAAACTTTGTCTAAAAAAAAAATGAGTATTTTCTTCAGGAATTATTTTAAAAATCATGACGAGGTGATATGTGAGTTATATTTATTTTTTGGTTTTCATTAAAGGGGCATGGGACATTACAAAAATCACAAAGTATACCTTTCTTATTTTCCATGCTGTGTGTGGAGGGGTTGGGGGGAATGCTTTCTCTTGGTGAGGATGTTACTGGGTGGGAACTGTAGTCTGAGCACTCAGGCAGAAGCATGAGCAAGGAATTCTGCAAAAAATATTCGGCAAGGCATGTTAAAGCTGGGTCCACAAGTCACATGGTTTTGCTTTTTGATGTCAATAATACACACGATTATGCTGAAATCTCAGGTATTTCTTTCAACCACCACATGCTTTTCAGTTGTGTGAGCTCAGAATCCACCAAACCACACCCAAGGCATCCTGGCCAATGCCCACTCACCATCTTCCTCGTAGAGAAGACCCATGTGCATATGTGCCTCGGCTTCTTTCTTCCCACTGTCAATTTTGATCAGCTGAGCAATCTTAAAACATCGTTTGTAGAAGTGGTTCCTTACCCACTTGTCTTCAGAATTATTGAAGTAACAGGCCAGAGCATACAAGTTATTATACACATCTTCAAAGGATCCTTCCAAGAGAGAAAAGCATCACGAATGACATTAGAAAGATGTCTCATGAAACATCCTTTAGAATGGCAAACCAGTATCATGACATTTACTTCCTATTTTTCCTTAAAGATATGACTAAGAGTTTTAAAAACTGAATCTAAATGCAAAAATTAATTTATTGTAACTATTAACTTCATTATATTAAAGATGTACAGATGAGTAAAGCAATGAAAGCCTTCCTGAAAACTTAGAACATGTTGCGAATTGACACTCTTTGGTTGAAAACAGGAGACTTTCAGGTATAGGACATAACAATACCTACTAGCAATGTGCTCAGTGCTTTTGGAAGACAAGAGTACATGGTGTCATTGAGTACTTTTCTCACTGGAGGTTTGAAAGTACTTAGAGAGTCTAGAGATGGCAGTGTTTCTCAGCCATGCCAAAAGATAGTGTAAATGAAGAAAGCAGAATGGATAAGAAAATACCAAGGTATTTCATATCATAAAAAATGTCACAGGGTTGATAGATACAACAAATGATGATCAGAATGACCCTATAAGCTCCATATACTTTCTACGAATCTTTCTAGCAATATAAATTTCTAGTAATGTTAAGAAGAGTAGACTTCTATGCTTCGGTTTTCTATGGGTATTTTTTTTGCTGGAAATGCATACAGACTAGTGGTTTTTACTCAGATAATGGCTAGTTAAACTCTTGGAGGTTTTTTTTCCTAAAGGGTATCTAACCTCTATGTACATAAAAAGTGTGTCCATCAATTGTGAATCAGTCTTATAAACCCCACCATGATAGTAAACCTGAACAAAAAGTGTTAATAAGTTGTGCCTCAGCCCAAATTCATAACCTTTGTGCCTTTTGTATTTATACTAAAAGTATAGTCGTATTATAAATATGCAGTGGTCTTTGGGTTACCCTTCCAATAATGTTTTAATAACAATAATTATCTATTAGAATTCACTGATATTAATTGTTCACTACTACCAGGGGAGTCAACCCACATATTCCTGAAGGGATTACAATTATGAAAAATATTTCCCACCAGGACACATATAAGATGAAAATCAAAACTCAGAAAAAATGAAACAGGTTGATTACAACAAAGGGTAGTTTTGCAGAACTGTAAATAAGTCACCCCAATGTTTCAAAAGAAGTCTCTAAAACCAATTCTATTCCTTTACATACACTTTTTTATACATATACTTCTTTAAATATTCCAATGGAAATTAAGATTTGTAAGAAAATACATTTAATAACTAGAAAACAAAATAAAAAGTTCTCCCTATCCTGGAAGTTGCTGGGGATTCTGGAGAGCCATTCTGCTTTTTGAGGACCCTCACAATAGGTGACAGCTCAGGTGACAAGTGGAGCTGGGCACAGTTGCTCATGCCTGTAATCCCAGCTCTTTGGGAGACCGAGTTATTTACTTGATGCAAATACTCCTGAGTTATTTATTTGATGCAAATAACCCAAACTCACAATTACTTCTGGGCTTTGTCTTTTCCATTATGAACTTCCTATATAATATGAATACAACACTAAAGTCTGTTTTGTAATATTTCATATTGTTGGTTATATTTACTGATTAGAGAGTTATTGCTTTTAGAAGCCAGTAAGTAAAACATTTTCTATTTTCCACTTTAATAAAAAGGATATATATAATTAAAAATATATGCAGTCCTGAATTTTTTTTTATATTTTAATAATTAAACATTATTGTAAAAATATTCCCAACATTTCATGTGATTTTTTTTAAGGAATGAGTTAGATAAGCTACCAAGATTATATATTTAAAGACTACTTGTCAGCTAAGCTATTTTTCTATGAAAAAAATGGATGGTTTTCCAGAATATAAAATATAAAAGAATATATTCAAGTTTCAAGTTTTTGGGCAATGCAAATACATGCCCTGTAGCCTTTACAAAGGCTATAAGCCGCTTTCTCTCCTTGCTTGTGGACCACTTCTTTAAATTGTCAGCAGTAATGGTCAGAAGATGAAAATTAGTTTTATTGCGGGTTTCCTGTGCTCCTTAAAAAGAAGATTCTACAATGAAATTAATTTGGGAAACAATTTTCCGATTTACTTTTTCAGTAAGTCACACAATATACATAAGCATGTTAAATGTTCTGATTAGTCCTGCAATAAATCAATCTGCTTAACCTCAGTGTTACTTCACCTGGTATTTCTCAAACTTATTTCACCAGAATATTTTTTTTGTTTTGCTTTACATAAAATCTATAAATACCTGTGGAATTTCACTTTAGTAAAACATAATTTGTGTATGTTAAACAAACATTATTAGAAAAAAAATTGCTGCTCAACCCTTAATAAATTTAAAAGTCAAGTGTAAATAATGTTTGAATTATCTATTGATTTTGTTACCCATTGCCATTATTGCCATCTTTTCCCCAGCCCCATGGGGCACAAGGCCCTAATCAGATGTTACAGATGGCACAGCAATGATTCACGACAATGGATACATTTTTTAAAATGTATGAGGGACAAAGAAACACTTTAACAAATAGAAAATAACCCAAAAAGAAATGATTGGCTTACTTTAAACACACCTCTGCTATAAAACAGCAAGTGATATTTTGTAAAGTAATTTAAATAACTCTAGGTTACTGCTCTGTAAGTCTCAAGAGACAGAACTGACCTGAGATGACTATTGTTAGTGCCATAGCTTTGATTAAATGAACTTCACTGTGACCCTAGAGTGATAGTCCTTTCCGTGAGAAGCAACAAGAATGCTCAGTAACATGCTCCCATCTGGAACGGAACTTTAAGACACTATTAACATATTTCTGTATTCTAGGCATACATGCACAATTTAAGATTTAAGATTCATTCAGGTTAATAAGAATGAACGTACCATTTTCTGGTACGTTCCTAATTCAAACCACAATTTTCCTCTAATAAAGTTCATGTGTTGAATGTGGAAAAAAATTATGACAATTTTTTTGAAAAAATGCCACACAAATGTTTACATGCTGAAGTTTTTGTAGTAACATTTTTGCAATAATTTGAATTTTCTGTATTTCAATCAGACAAAAGTCACTGTATTTTGTGGGAGATAACCTTAAAGAAGAGATATTGACTATTAAAGAGTTGGACTTTGGGCTGGGCACAGTCACTCATGCCTGTAATCCCAGCTCTTTGGGACACCAAGGCAGATGGATCACTTGATGTCGAGATCAGCCTGGCCAACATGGTGAAACCCTGTCTATACTAAAAATACAAAAATTAGCTGGGTATGGTGGTGTGTGCCTGTAGACCCAGCTACTCAGGAGGCTGAGGCAGGAGAATCGTTTGAACCTGGGAGGTGGAGGTTGCAGTGAGCCAAGATGGTGCCACTATGCTCCAGCCGAGGCGACAGACTAAGACTTTGTCTCAAAACAACAACAAAAATGCAGCTGGACTTTGTTAACTTTTGGATTGGAGAAATGTTTTTACTTATAAATATAGCAATTTTCCTATAAGAAATATTATAAATTAAAATGTTTTCTACCATGAAATAGCCTGGCATTTTAGGTTCTTTATAAATTGAAAAAGCTTTACAACAACCTGGCTCATATCTATGACACCTTATAACAAGTGACGTATTTAGCTTATATTTACACTATCTTCAATGAAAGCCTCAATTTAAAACAGCGAATATGATAAAATCAATGGAATAAAATGTCTAATAATTAGTTCTACTTTCAGTGTATATATCACTTTAGAATTTTGGGCTAATACTGGAATGTAGGTTGTTTTGTTTTGAGATGGAGTTTCACTCTTGTTGCCCACACTAGAGCACAATGGCATGATCTCAACTCACTGCAACCTCCACCTCTTGGGTTCAAGCAATTCTCCTGCCTCAGCCTCCTGAGTAGCTAGGGTTACAGGCACCTGCCACCATGCCCGGCTAATTTTGTTGTATTTTTAGTAGAGACAGGGTTTCACCATGTTGGCCAGGCTGGTCTCAAACTCCTGACCTCAGATGATCTGCCCACTCGGTCCCTTAAGTGCTGGGATGATAGGCGTGAGCCACGGCTTCTGACCAGAAAGTAGGTTTTATACAATAGTATGTTTTATTTACGACAGTTAATTTCTTGAGAAATTATTGTAAATCATATTTTAAAGTTCACCAAAATACTTTTTTTCACATCTATCCTGCAGTGAAACCCTTTTCATAATATAAATAACCACCTCCTGTCCCGCCCCTGCCACACACACACACCCTAGTTCATTTGTTTTGTTGTTCACATTTTTGTGTGTCTCATATTCTTAAGTTAGGTCACAACCTGATGGGAAATATGTATCAACTCCAACACATAGAGACCCTTCAAATGTTGTTAACATATCCCCATAGAATTTCTCCATGGTACCACTGGGTAACAAAAAGTTGCTAATACTTTATTTTCTCATAGAAAAGCCTGAAATGACATGTAGACATTGTCATGTTGAGGCCTGGGTTTTTCTTTTTGAATCCTGTGGTATTTTCCAAAAATGGAAAAAAGAATAATTTAGAACACCAAATTTACATGCCAAATTCTTTTTTTGGATTTCCTTTTTTCTCTGATGACAGCTGACTAGTTTAAATGATCATTTCTTAATACGTAACTAAGAAATATTTATGATAATATAATTAGTAAAGAGATGAAAATATTTCTTTAATACTTGGAATGTATATTAACTTTGTGGAAAATTTTGAAATGTGAAAAAAAATTTATTAGAAATGATGTCATGGAAAACATAAAATTAGCAATTTTATTTGCAATTGCGAATTGAAGACTTTTCATGTCTTTTTACTATTTACTACGACAAATTCTCCGATTCAAATCAGTAGGACTTCCTGACCCAAACTTCAAAGTCTACTATCTAAACTTAGGAAAATCAGTGTGATTTTCAAGTTATAGTACTCTTTGAAAGTATCTGCTCTGTGAAAGTCAATATTCAGATCACATATACAGAAAAACTGAAGAAAGGTTTAAACCTACGATAGGAACTATATTAATTCATGGGAAAGTTCTGGAGATGTTATTAGGTGCTATGCATTGTCTTCCCTGGCTCAGAATGACATCGCCAGGATGCCCCTGTGTCTGGGAAGCCTCATAATCCCATATTCCCTATCATTAATTCCATAAATATGCTTAACTGACTGGGTTGAAGTGTGCTAAGTTGTCTTAATGTTTCAAATTCATACATGAAACAATCTGGAATCTTCCCCCAGGCCCCCGTCATTCTGGCTCATGCTGTGCTCTGCCCACAGTCCCACCACTTACCCTTCCTCTCAGCGTACTCAGCCCTCGTCAGGTAGTGGTAGAAGTGATCCAGTTTATCAGGCTGATCCTCCAGGGGCTTCTGAGGCCAAAAGAGGGACCTGACTCTCGCAGCCTCCCTCAGGGCATCCCACTGCTCCATCAGAGCGAAGAGCTCGGTGAAGGACTTATGATAACCATCTCGCAGCATGTCCACACAGACGTTCTTCTTGTAGGAGTTCCTATAACTGGGAATATGAATAGGAACATTCAAAGCTTTATGTTAATCCTTTCAGTCTGCATGGTGTTTTCATTCTCTAGTAATTAAAGGTTGAATCATGTTGCCCATTTTCCCTCAGTGAAAGCACTGAAAACTATCAAAAGATCTTTGCCTCAAACACTTATAACTGAACAACTTCTGTTTAATGAAAGATGCCAGGAGCTATCTAAATATGGTAATTTTAATAAAATTACATTATAAACATATCGGTTCCGGAGCTGAGCTCCATTTGATAAGGACAAATAAGACAGTTGACTGATGAATATTCAAAAACTTGATACATCAGCCTCCTAACCCCCAAAAAAAATCCTCTAAAAAAAAAAAACTCCAACAAGCCAAGCAAAAATAAAACTTGCCATTTAATATCAAAATAATATTCCCTCTATATTAGTAGTTTCACTATGTTACAGAAGTTCATCATTCTTTCATTCATGCAGAAAATATTTATTGAAATCCATTATGAAATATATATTTTTAAATTATTTCAGTCAGAATTAAGTTAACGATTAATAATTCAATGCTAACTTCAGTAATTAAATGCAAGAAGATAGACTGACAGATAAATATTCCACTTAGTCACAGGACAAATAGGTACTGAGTTTCCTACTAAGTGCCAGGCACTGTTCTTTTCCAAAAAGTTTCCATGCCCTTGTGATGCTTACATTCTAGTGGGAGAATGTGACTAACAAGTAAGTAAACAAATGACAAATAATTTCAAATGATGAAAATTTTTGTATAGGAAATAAACAGAACTGTGATATAATAGCTGTGTAGTGGCCATTATGCCATTAAAAGAACAATTAGATGCCAAAAGATATAGCTTTATACTAATTATGTTATATTCTTTTAAATAAATAGGACAAATGACATGTTATACTACTGGCAACAAAAATTCCATGTGGAGTGCAAACAGCCCAGAACACCAAGATTGAGTTCAGTTTGGCCTCACCTCCCTGGGTCTCCAGTCTTCTCATCTCTAAGCTGTATATATTAGTATATGCTACCTACATCAGGGGATTCTTCTAGGAACCAAATGAAATTCGGTATGTGAGAATGCTCTGGGAAATGTGAAATCTCACTGCTGCTTCTCAAGTCCTCATTATGCATTAGATTCACCTACAGAGTTCAACAAACAAATAACAAAACAAAACAAAATGCCTAGGCTTGCATCTGCCAAGAATTTCTTATCCAGTGGATCAGCTTAGGTACACAACAAATAAATAAGGAGTGGCAAGCCCGAGAGTGGTGAGACAGGAAGTTTAGAACAAAAGGCAGGGTCCAGATCATGAAGAGATCTCATGGTAAGACAACAGCGAGAAGTCTGGACTCCAAGCTAGGAGGGAGGTAGAGCAACTGGAGACCAGAGTCAGGTAACTGACATGACAAGACTGCATTTTTAAAAGTCATCTGGGAGACGTGTCCCAGCTGAACTGCAACCTTCCCCTAGCCGGCAGCCAGACTGTGAGAGAACTAGCCTCTAAAGAGAATAAAGAAACCACATGGACCCTAGGTCAAAAGATGAAAAGCCAACATTTAGTATGAGAACAAGATATATTTGAAATGGGGAAGAGAAAAAGGAATAGTGGTTGTTACTTATTCCTGTCCTCCAATTGAGATAGAGGAGGGGAGTATGGAGAAAAGCAGTAAGACGCTCAGGGGCCATGTCCTCTTTCTCTTCCTCACTCCAGTCAAATGGAGGGGCTCTGAGAGTAGAAAAGTCAACACTCTATGAAATGAAGCAGGAGCCAAGAATCAAAAACACACATCCTGCTTCCCATCTAGGGTTCTTGAAGGCAGGAAGGATTACCAACATCCCTCTTCCCACCTCCCCATATACAAGGGCATGCAAAGGCAGCAAAAGTCCCTATAGGATTTCTAGGCAGAGGAGGACCAGGACTGGAACCAGCCCTATAATTGCCCCTAGCTCCTGAATGGTAGAGAAGGGACTTAATATTCCAGTGTGCTCCACGTGTGGCCCAAAAGTTATTGGGAAGAGAGGGCTGCTACGTCTGTCACAACGTCATCTGGCCATAGTAAGGAGATACATGTGAATGACTGTTCATGGGCTGCCCACCTGGGACTGAAGGAAGACACAGCTACAACTGAAATGAGCAGTATGGGGGAGCTCCTGAAGGGTTAAGGTCAGCATATTTCCAGAGCTGATAGAACGCAGATGGATCAGGTGCATCAGAAATGGACACATGTAGAGGACCTCATAGGCTACGAATGCATTCAGTTATCAGTAAAAGAAACTTTTCTCACAGTGCTGTGAAAAATGGAGGTTTCTAATTTTCTTGCCTAAAGGTAGGCAGCTGAGGACCTTAGTTCAGTGGCCTGGCAAGTTCAAGTCCATGTCCCTGGGATGATCTTGACCTTCCCCTCCTGCTGGTCCCTTACTGATTGCCACAGAGCTGCTACAGCTTCAGACATTATGTTCACTTTTAAGACAGGAAGGAAAGGGAAAGTGGGGTGGCAATGGCTGCGTCTTTATTTTAGGGAACAACAAAACCTTCCTGAAACCACCAGCAGACTTGTACTTTTCTATCGGCCAGAACTGTGTCACTGCCCCACTCCTTACCTTGCTGCAAGGAGTCTGGAAAAACACATACCCTGCCTGCTCTGGGGCATGTTGCTGCCCCAGACAAAACTAGATTTATGTTCGCAAAGACAGAGGAAGGAAGGGATACTGGCTGGACAAATGCAGTGACAATCACCAAGTCATACAAGTCAGGGGTGTCCAATCTTTTGGCTTCTCTGGGCCACATTGGAAGGAGAATTGCCTTGGGCCACACATAAATACACTCACACTAATGATAGCTGATGAGCTAAAAAAAAAATCAGAAAAAAATCTCATAACCTTCTTAAGAAAGTTTATGAATTTGTGGTGGGCCACATTCAAAGCCATCCTGGGCTGCATGCGGCCCATGGGCCCTGGGTTGGACAAGCTTGTTCCAGGTCAGGATCTGAAAATAAATGTTGTTACCCCAGCGGGGGTTACCAGATAAAATGTAGGAATCCCAGGTTTGATTCAATTTGAACATCAGATAAAAAATGAATGATCTTTTAATTAGAAATATGCCCCAAATATTGCATAGAGCACATTTATAGTAAAAAAAAGTGTTTCTTGTTTTTGAAACTCAGACTGAACTGCACACTCTGTATTTCTGTTTGCTAAATCTAGTAACTCTACTCGCCTGAAGCCCTCAGTAGTGCGATGCTGTTTCTATATAGGAAAATACGGTGAGGGGAAGAAGTTTCAGAATCTTGAACAACCTGAGAAACTGCCAAATTGGACTGACTTTACCTAAGAGTGACAAGATTGGATTTTTACACTAGGGAAGATCAAGGCTCAGGGCCAGGAATTAAAATTAAGTTATAAAAAAATAAAGACTTTCAATTTAGCATTCTCAAGTCTGTGACTCAGAAATTCACACCTGATCCAAGAGAAGGGATGGGAGGAGGGTAAAACTGGGAGCAGGAAGAACGGATGGGAGACTGGTGGTTGCAGAAAGGAGAGGTGTTGGGGGTGGAACCACGATAAAGGTGGAGGGATGGAGGGAAGTAGGTGAATTCAAAACATATTTAGGAGACAAAAATATGGATTACTTGGTAATTCAAAGGATATCGGGGGTGAAGGAAAGGGAGGAGCAAGGATGACAACCAGGTTTTGGGACTGGGTAACAGGTAATTGGTAATTTGCTAAAGAGTCCCCTCTTTAGCAAAATACACTAATACTAATGATAGATGATGAGCTTTAAAAAATCACAAAAAACCTCATAACCTTTTTAAGAAAGCTTATGAATTTGTGTTGGGAACACAAAAGGATGGACAGGTTTGAAGAAAGATAATGAGTTAAGGTTTGGATAACTGGAGTTTCAGAAGCCTGAAGGGACCTCCAAGTGTTACCCCAGAAGGCAGTTTTGGGGGTGGCATAGGAGACCTGAGAGGACAAGAGGTTGGAATCTTGCCTGACACAAGCAATGCCACCAAGCTCCCACCAGATCTTCCTAGGAGTGAAGAAAGTATTTGGGGGAAAAAATGAAGAAAATTATAAATAGATAAAAATTAAAATATTGACTGTAAAATGATACAAATAAATGCTAGATAGGGCAGTTAGACAGCCATCTCAGTTCTAATCCCAACAGGGTCGGAAAATTCAGAAAAATCACTCTCTGGGCCTTCTTTCCCTCACCTGGAAGATGAAGGTGCTTTTGCGGGATTTGGCCCAGCCAGCATCTAGCTCCATGTCCACAGGGGGGCGCACTCCAAAAGTATTTCGGAAATAACCAGTCCCATATTGTGTGTAGTCTTGGTGGCACGGAAATTCAAGGACTCCCTAGCCAAGGAGTGAGTTATTGACCCAAATTAGGCAAGCTGGTCTCCCAAAATTTTGAAACCTGAGACAAGCAACACAAAAGTGTAGGAGGTTGCTGGTGCTCAATTAATCCGGCAGAATCTTGACAAGATTCTCTAGTAGTTCCTGCTACCTATATCCATTCGAGGGGGCCGGTCTGGTGCTTTTCTTCTGACCTGGGTTCTCCTCTAAATTCCGCTCTATCCTTTCAATAAAATCATTTCCAGTTGATTTAGTCAGATGCGGTTTCTGCTGTCTGTGACCAAAGAACACTAAGTGATTCAGAAGGGGTCGGACGATCATTATTTCCACTACCTCTTTCAGCCTCAAACATCTATGATATATAACTAATATCAATTTTTTAAATTTCTAGTACATTTTTTAAAAAGATCATTCTTTACAGGAGATGTTACCAATAGAAATGTATTTAAATACGCATATAGAATTATACTGGTATCGTCTCTATTTTACACACACATGTGCATGTAAGAAAGAACAATTATACTGGTTTAATGAATAGGTTCCTATCTAAACCTTCATAGTTAATCTGAATTATTTCTTTTAACCAGAAAATCTTCATTGATTAAAACTGGCTGTCTAAAAAAAAGGAATGT